TACTAGAAATTTACACATAGTTTTAGCCCTATTTTTGTCCTGTAGGAAATAGACAAATTTGGTTTGCTGGGACCACAGCATTGGGCTGGGTAGGACACTGCTTTGCCTTAAGTTTATTGGTCTTCCTGAACTTGTTGATCTGAACAAACAACTACAACGTCAGAAAAACCAAAGAAATGGGATCAGAATGCCATATTGTAGGAAGTGAAAGCAGGACAGATATGTACATTCATTTCTGGTTCAGTTGACTTCCTACTGGGTATCTGATTAGCATAGTATCTCTTGGTTTGATGGGGTCATGTGACTCTTCCTGGCCATTGAGGTGTGCGCACACAGGAGGTAAGTCTGCCTGGGGTAGTATATGACATTCCAGATATTCCTGAGTTCTTTTTCCTTATGACATAGTAATCAGCAACACTTGTGATATGGTATCTCCACCATTCTGAATATAACAGTGACCACCATGAGCAGAATCCTCTGCTGAACCAGGATGGATATGTAGCGCTTGTTTGAAGCCATGGGTAAACCTCTGTAAAGAATGAGGCAGTAGCCCAGTCTGATGTGGTTCAATGAGGTTACTGGTTTGATTCCTGGTTAAGGGCACATGTCTAGGTTGTGGACTAGATTCTTAGAAAGGGCTGGCTGTATAGGAAGCAGCCTATCAATGATTCTCTCTCATCATTGATGTTTGTTTCTCTCTCCCTCTCAAAAATCAATAATATATATATATATATTATATACAGATAGTATTTTAGGTATTGCACATCATAGTGTCTGTCTCAACTACACAACTCTGCTCTCCTGTGGCACGAAAACAATGATAATCCTATATAATAGAAGCCAAATATGCTAAGTGTCCAGTCCTCCGTTCAACCAATCAAAGTGTAATATGCTAATGATATGCTGAGGCTTCTCAACCACTCACTATGATGCGCACTAACTACTAGGGGGAAGTCGATTGGTTGACCAGTCGCTATGATGTGCACTGACCACCAGGGGGTAGATGCTCCGACTGGTAGGTTAGCTTGCTGCTGGGGTCCGGCTGATAGGAACTGAGCAAGACGGGCCAGACACACATTCTAGAGCCCTTCCACAGTCCCTCCCCTCCCGGGTTGGCCAACCTCCCGCATCCCTCCCTGGCCCTGATCCTGATCTGGTGGGGTCCCTTGGCCCAGCCTGTGCCTTTTCGAAATCTGGGAACCCCCGGGGGATGTCGGAGAGCCGGTTTTGGCCCAATCCTGCAGGTCAGGCCAAGGGACCCCACTGGTGCACAAATTCGTAAACCGGACCTCTAGCGTGTACATAAATTCACATGGCTGTGTCCACAAAAAAAATTATTTACACAAACTGATGGAGGGTCACTTGGCCTAGGGACTATAGTTTGCAAATTCCTATTTTAAGTCAGATTTTTGAAGATTGTTACTGCAGTACAATTTAATCTACCTTGATATATTGGGCTGAGAGATGGACCCTCCAAATGAGATTCTTGGTTATGTGTGTTAGCTATCTTGCTCCCTCTCAACAATCTACTTTCCTTTTTCTAGAAAAGCCCAATCTAGCTGACCATGAAACTTTATGCTTTATAACTGCTACTGCATCGTAATGTGCCAAGTAAAGGCAGGTCTTAACCTGAATTAATAGAGGTCTCCAAGTCCATAGTTCTCATATATTGGCATGCATCAGAGGCACCTGGCGTCTTGTTAACAAAGATTGCGGGGTTCCACCCCCAATATTTTAATTCTGTAGGTTGTAGGTCTGGGGGAAATCTGCCTGCTAGAGTATTTCATGTCAGATCTGAAAGATACTGGTCAAGTTCTAAGGAATAAAGAAGTGGTTCTCCCCGCCCTCCAAAACAAAAACAAAAAACAACCACACACCAAACTTTAGTGTGCATATAAGTCAGCTGGGGATCACAGAAACCGGTTTGGCTCAGTGGATAGAGCCTGCGGACTGGACTGAAAGGTCCCAGGTTTGATTCTGGTCAAGAGCATGTACCTTGGTTGCAGGCAAGAGGCAGATGATCAATGTTTCTAAATCTCAATTCCTCTTCCTTCCTCTCTGTAAAAAAGTCAATACAATATATTTTTTAAAAAATCAGCTGTGGATCTTGTTAAAATGCAGATTCTGTAAGTGTGGAGTGGGGCCTGAGATTTTGATAAGTGATCGTGGTGGTCAGCACAAGTAAACTAAAAGCTGCAAGGAGCTAAACAATTCTGATCTTTTCTAGCCTCTAGGCTTGCAAACAGTTCAGGTGCTAACATCTTGAATTATCTTAGGTCAACTTTGCAACTTTGACTTCACTTACACTTAACATACAACTTGTTAGCAAACCCTATCCCTGTGGTCTGCAAACTGCGGCTCTCGAGCCACATGCGGCTCTTTGGCCCCTTGAGTGTGGCTCTTTCACAAAATACCACGGCCTGGGCGAGTCTATTTTGAAGTGACGTTAGAAGAAATTTAAGTTGAAAAAATTTGGCTCTCAAAAGTAATTTCAATCGTTGTACTGTTGATATTTGGCTCTGTTGACTAATGAGTTTGCCAATCACTGCCCTATCCTTTCTACAGTCACAATGGTTAAAGCACCTGTCACCACCTTTTTTGTAACATAATGACATTGACCACCACTATCTCTGAGCTATATTGTTTCAACAGCCTCCCAATTGGGCTCCCAGCTCCAGGCTCTACCCTGCCCCTCACCTCTAATATACACACTCTAAATTCGTTATATTGCAGCAAGAGAGTTTCTTTAAAACACGGGTTGATCATGTTACTCCTCGTTTAAAGCTATGCATGCAGTGACCTCCCATTTTACTAGGCAAAAGCTGAAGTCCTTACAGTGGCCTATGAGACTTTCCAAGACTGGCCTTCTTTTACGTCTTTGACCTCATCTCCCATTCTTGTTGTAGCCTCTGTAGCCTCCTTACTGTTCCTTCAACCCACCGCACACACACTGGTATCAGACCTGGCACTTGGAGTTCCCTCTGCCCGGAAAATTCTTCCTTCGAGATAACTGCTTGGCCTTCCTCACTTCCTTCAGTGTTAGCTCATGTGTCACTCTGCTGTAAGGCTAGTCCTAACCACCCTGTTTTATTTTTCCTACCACTTCACTATCTCACATGCATTTACTTATCTTCTTCCCACATGGAATGTAAGGTCCACGAAGATATTTTTGTTTCCAATCCCTAGCAGTGAAGCCTCCTTAAACACATAGTTGTGTGACAACACAGATTTGAATGAGTGGATAACAGACTTTGCAGCTAACTGAAATATCTTGAGGTTACAGGTTTCTTTAGCTCCCTCAGCATATACTGCTGCCATCCAGGTATTACTCATTTTAGTCTCCAAAGAACAATGAGTTTGGTAGGATCTTGTTTAAATCTTTTTTTTTTTTAATGGAATTTTTCATTTACTGTTGTCACACATTACGTTGCTTAATTTCCCACCGTTTATATTCCTTTTAATACATTTCCTTCCAGCACTAGGCTTAGTTTCTGTGCACTCTCAACCACACACACCCTGCTCCTGGGTTAATTATAAGACTGTAGCAATTTTCCTGGAGGGAAAAAAATTGTTTATTTCATTAAACATGCTCTTAAAAGTTTCTGGTTCATAAAACAAGGGAAAAGGTCTACATCGCAATACCCAGACCTACTGCGTAAATGTCATCTGAAGGCAGCTGACAATTATTTTTAATGAGTCTGGAGTTAAGACTTCTAAAAAGCCACCCATGTTGCTCACTTCCAACGCGTTCTAGAAAATTCCTAGGTTACTGGGTGAGACTGTTCTGTAGGGAAAGTTGTGCTTTTTCAAGGCCTTTTTGGATGTGGGAGTTTGCTTGTTCTGCATACATAAGGAATTCTAGGAGCTGGGATTGCACCACCCACCCCACTCACCCCTTAGTCTCAGAAACCTTTGCCATGCCCTGCCACCCCACCCCCACCAAATAAGGGATTTACACTCCACAGTAGCCGGCCGCAGATCCAGCTGCTTGACACCTATTGTCCCCGTTTGGACGTCAAGCGATTTCGCCTGAAGGACCCCAGCTTCGATTTCTTCCAAAACTCGAGGCAACGCTCCAACAGCGTCCCAGGGCCGTCCGGACCGGCCACCCTCCGGAGCCGGCACTTGGGCAGGGCTTGTAGGCGGCCCGGGAGGGTGGAGGGGAGGGCGATTCCCCACAGGCGTTCGCGCCGGGCAGCCGCAGCGGCCGCGAAGGACCCCGCCCGCTGCCTCCCCCGCCCCCTCGGCCCCAGAGGGCTGGCTGGCTGGCTGGCTAAGTCCCGCCCGCTGCCGGCTCTCCGCCTCACTAGCGGCGGCTCTCGGTGGAGCGGGGTCAGGGCGGAGCGGCCTGCGCCCTCGGAGCGCACGACACAGCCCGGAACGCACCGCCGCCCTCGCCTCCTCGGGATCTCCAGCGGCCTCCGTTCGCGCGCACGGTGAGCGCCACCCCGGACCGAGGCGCACCAGGGGGCCGGGGCTGCTGCCCCGAGTGCTCTGTACCTCCGGACCCGCTAGACCTTCGCCAGGAGCTGGACCCTCAAGTCCCCTCCCCATCCCTCCCCCCGGTCATTGCCAGTGCCCTTCTCCACCCTCCCCAGCCTCCCGGCCCCGCGCTCTCTCCCCTCCCTCCCTTCCTCCCTCCTTCCATCGGAAGGCGGCGGTGCCTGCAGCCCTTCTCCGGGGAGACCGTTGTACCGGCCGTTGCCCCGCCCCCGGCGCGAGCCCGGGTGCCCCCGGGGCGGGTAGGCCGGGCCGGCGGCCCGCGCGGGGCGGGGCGGGGCCGGCGCGAGGCCCGGCCGGGCGCCCCGCTGGCGGGTCGCGCGCGCGCCCGGCGTCCCTTCCTGCCCTCGCGGCGCGCGCCGCCGCCCCGCCCCCACCGCTCGCGCACGCTCCCGCCCGCTGCGCGTTTTGTCCCGCGTCTCGCCCCGTCCGCCGCCTGACTCGCCGCCGCCTCTGTCCTTCCTCCCGCTTTTTTCTTCTCTCCCCTTTACGGTCTAAAGATGCCCTCGGCCACCAGCCACAGCGGAAGCGGCAGCAAGTCGTCCGGACCGCCGCCACCCCCGTCGGGGTCCTCGGGCAACGAGGCTGCAGCGGGGGCCGGGGCCGCCGCCGCACCGCCTTCCCAGCACCCCGCAACCGGCACCGGCGCCGTCCAGACCGAGGCCATGAAGCAGATCCTCGGGGTGATCGACAAGAAACTTCGGAACCTGGAGAAGAAAAAGGTGCTGAGAATTGGCGGGGGAAGAAGGGGGGGGATTGGATGCTCCGATCCCTGGCTGCTAGCTAGATCCTTCCCCTTTCCCGTGTCCAGCGTTTCCCCTCCCCCAGGCTCCCCGTCCACTGTCAGTGGGAGCTCCGTGCCCAGAAAACGGGCCGGCAGGGGAGGCGCTTGTCACCTGACCCGCGGCCTCCGGGTTGCTGCCCCCTTGCAGCGGGCCGGGCCTCCGGGCCTCGGGGCCTCGGGGCCTCGGGGAGTGGAAAGTGTCAGGGTGGGGACCTGCGCCGCCGCCAGGTTTAACTGTGTGGTGCCCTGTGCCCGGGCCCTGTGCTCAGGGCCAGCGGGGAGATGCGGGATCCCGGTTTGGGGGGCTCAGGACCCGGCAGGCTGCCTCGTGGAGTCGGGGCGGCCTGCGTCCTGCGGCCGGGGGCTGCCCGCTCCGTTACTGTGCGCTTGAGGCCTGCTCCGTGCCTCTTCCCCCCGTGGGGGAGAGGGTATTTAGGACCTTGGGCTAGGATTGCTTTTCACCAAGCCCCTTGTGAGTGGGTCTTCCGTCTGCTCCCCCGCCCCCATCGGATGGGCTCCCCTGCGCTTCCTTCTTTGTTTCAATTGTCTAGGCGCCCCCTGAGCCTCCCGCCCCGCTGGGCCCCGAGGACGCGGCCTGGAGCGACGTTTTGTCCCTCGGGGACCCCGAGGAGGGGCGGCAGGGAGACCGCACCGCTCGGGCTTCATTGGGGGGGTGGGTGTGGGCATCGAGGGGATCGGCAGGGCCCTGGGCACATGGAGAGCGCGGCTAACATGGCGGCGGCTGCGGGGAGAGGGAAGCGCTTTGCTGGAGCTGCATTGTGAGCACAAAGCGAAAGCGGAGGGGGAGGGAGAGCCCGGGCAGCCGCCCGGCTGGCCTCGGTCGACCCCCTCCAAAAACAACAACAAAAACCAGAGCCACTCCTACGGTATTTTGGCTTCAATGTTTAGTCCTTCTACATCACACCCTGAGGGTCATCTTCACGCCAGCCTTTTGTTTCATGCCCAGGACAGTGTATCAACTGTTTCAGAGGGCACACGTGTGTGCATGTGTGCATAGGGAGGGAAGGTTTAGGCAGAGGGAATGTAATTCAACCTTCATACGTTTGGAGGTGAGAAGGGAGAAACAAATACCGTACAAAAAATGGGGTAATTATTTTTTGGCAAACTTTAGTATTTTACATTAAAAAGAAGAATAATAACTTTCATTTGATAACTTCTGCTTGCCTGACACTAGTAAAACACTGATTATAACGTTGAATTTTGAGGAAGGCATTAAAAAAATGCTTATTTTGCTGGCTACCTAGTAGTGTTACTTAAGATGACGAGGTAGTAATAGAAACTCTGGCTAAAATTTGGGCTGTGGGAAATAACTTGAAGAAAACTGGTGATATGTAGATCTTATTTTAATGGCTCATTTAATAATTATTTTTACTTTTTTGAGTTTTAAAACTTTTTAGATTTGATACTTCTGTTTCATCTGTATTGGGAATTTTACTTGGATTTCTTGGACATTATTTTCAATAGAGAGATGCTCTCTAATTTTGGATTTCTATCTTTTTTCTGACCCTTTTGTTAAAAAATGTGGTTTATTATAAATGATTGAAGTAATAGGTTTATGAATAGCAATAAGGTAACAAAGGTATTTTACTTGTAAACTAGCTACATTCATATATGTAATAGAATAACCATACCTAAGGCCAGTATTGGTCTGAGTCTGCCAGCTGATTTAGTTTTTGGTATTCTATTTGAAATTGAGAATTAGGTATCTTTTTTTAAATATATTTTTTAAAATATATTTTTTTACAGAGAGAGAGGGAGAGGATAGAGTTAGAAACATTGATGAGAAAGGAACATTGATCAGTTGCCTCCTGCACACCTCCTATTGGGGATGTGCCCACAACCAAGGTACATGCCCTTCACCTGAATTGAACCTGGGACCTTTTAGTCCACAGGCCCACGCTCAGTCCACTGAGCCAAGCCAGTTAGGGCAGAATTAGGTATCTTTTAAAAACCCCTTAAAGCAATAAATAATTTTGTTTATCTGGTTGATGCTTGAATGTTTCATTTTCAGAATTCTAGGAAATGTTTCCTTTTAGGAATCAAAAGATAAATATTAATGATGTAATATTTTAAGTATAGATGTTTATATTTTAATGACAAAAAATAATTTATCCAAGGTATTAATATAAAAATATAAAGGTGCAGATAAACAGCTAGCTTAGTTGTGAAGTAACTGTTAGAGACTAGTGTTCAAGTAAGTGTATTGGAAAAAAAATAGAAATCCAGTTTATAAGCCTTGGGAGTGCCTGAACCATGACAGGTCACTCCTGCATAGGTTAATATTACTGTATACTGTACATTGCCCACCTCTCTGCCCCTCCTCCCTAATTACAGAGGAAAAAGTAATGTAAATATTACAGAGATATAGATGAGGGGATGTAATTATTGAAAAATTCCCTTGAATGGGCATTTAACAAAGTATACAAAGTAACAAATGTATTTCATATCTTTTTCTTTTTTTCTTTCGGTATTAAGTGTTTTGGATAGCTGAAAGGTCAGATTACTCACAGATTAACTCACAGACTTTGAGCTACCTGTTTGTTAAATAGCAGTACTGATGTGACTTAATTACTATTAAATCTCGAAGTTTACTTTTGAGAAACTCAAGACTTTTTTATATCTAGATGATTTGGTGTATGAAAGGACTGAAAGTGATTCATTTTTGTAACAGGGAGTTGAGTATTCCTAATACACCTGAAGTAGGATTTACTTTGCAGATTGGTTTGAACCTGTTTAGAAACTCTTAGGGGATAAAGTAAGATACTATGTATAACTGGATTTTTTACTTCAGTCTACTTAGCAACTGATACTTGAGCTGTATTTGTCTTCTGGATAGAAGGACTTTTTCTGTGAGTTCTAAAATCAAATATCCTGACAAAAATGACTACAAGATATGTAGTATCACTTACATTAAGACATGATTGCATTTTTTTCCACTTTACTTAAAAAAATAGTTATTTGTTAATTTTCTAGTAAGCCCAGTCATAAGAGGAAATCCAAGCATCTGTTCAGTGAGAATGCAAACTTAACATTGATGAAGTACCATCCTATTAATTGTAATGCAACTAAATGGCCTGATAGTTTTTGAATTTGGGCTTATAAATAAAAATTACATGAGTGTTTAGCAGAAGAAATGCAGCTCTAAATTAATCTAGTGTAAAACTACATTTACAAATCACTTAACTGATTAAAGTATAAATAATAATGCATTTTGAGTGATTGCCTAGTTTTCAACATTTTATTGGTATAAAATTAGGCCCTTGGCTGTGCAAATTGATTTTTTTATATAACTTTAATTTTCATTATTTTTTAAATATATTTTTATTGATTTCAGAGAGGAAAGGAGAAGGGAAATAGAAACATGGATGATGAGAGAGAATCATTGATCGGCTGCCTCCTGCATGCCCTTCTACTGGGAATCGAGCCTGCAACCGGGGCATGTACCCTTGACTGGAATTGAACTTGGGACTCTTCTGTCTTCAGGTCGAGGCTCTATCCACTGAGCCAAATCAACTAAGGTTGCAAGATGATACTTTGAAACCAAGTCTTAATTTTAACTGTAGAGAGACCTCATTTATATGATGAGATGTAATCAGATTTGATGCAAAATAAAGGGTGTTTTAATAGATAATATTTACAATTGCTACACACTTTGTAAACATAATAGGATTAATATACATTAGTGACTTTGGTAGATGAAAGATTAACCAGTGTTCTCTTGCAAAACAGCCTGACATCTTTGTAACCAATATGTGACCAGATATGTTAGCTAAAGTGTGCTGGTTTTCATACCACTCTCTAAAATCTCCTTAATCTTTATATCTTTGCAGTTAAATAATAATCAGAAAAAGGATGCTTTTGTTGTTAGGATAACCTTTCTTACCAGAGCATTGCAGTGTATCTCTACTTAGAATTTTTAGTGCAGCTGTTGCACATATATATATATATATATATATATATATATATATATATATTTTTTTTTTTTTTTTTAAGTATTTCAAATAAAAACAACCATTTTGTAGGTAAAATCTTTTTTTTTGGGCTCACATCTGAAGTTTTTCTTGACAGTTAAAGTCTCAGATGTGTTCATTGATTGCATAAACCATTCCTCTGCAATGCAGAGGACAAGATAACTTGTTTTTGCATTTACCTTGTCACAGAAAAAAAAGGTATTTACAATGCTTAATTTGTTCCTCTCTGCCTGCCTGTGTGTGCTGTTTGTGTGCCATAGGGAAGTATTTAAATTTGAAAAGATGTGAATTCCCTCATGTGATAATAGGGGTACCTTTTTCTGGCATCAGGGTAGAATCCTAAGTATTACAATGAGAATGGAATGGATTGTTTTGACCTAGCCACATTATTTTACTGTAGGGTAATTCCTTTGTGGCAAGTATTTGTATAAAAATACATTTTGTGTGACTTAGATTAAGCATACGATTTGTCATAATTTTATGTAACTTCGTAAATTAGAGTTAGAATTCGATAAAGATTAGTAGTGTTTCATCTTTTAAAAAATTAGTTAATACTTGTGAAAGGTTAAACTAAAACAAATGGCCATTATATTACTATACTGTTATAGAATTTAAGATTTAAGAGCTTGAAGCCATCTTACAGTTTAATCCAATTCATTTTCAGGAGAGGAAATTGAGATACTTATGTGAAATTACCTGGCTTGGAATTGGTGAATCTTAAGTTTTTTTTTTTTTTTTTTTAAATAACTTTTTAAAATTTTAATTTTATTTTATTGATTTTTTTACAGAGAGGAAGGGAAAGAGATAGAGAGCTAGAAACGTCGATGAGAGAGAAACATCCACCAGCTGGCTCCTGCACACCCCCTACCGGGGATGTGCCCGCAACTCGGGTACATGCCCTTGACTGGAATTGAACCTGGGACCCCTCAGTCCGCAGACCGATGCT